ATTTAAAAATAAATTGATTTAATAATTTATTATTTCATAAATAGAAATTTAAAATTTTTTAATAGAAGTCTGATTTTGGAAATTTCAAACTTGTTTTCTTATTTTTCAAATAGACTAAATTTATTCTCTTGAATATATAATCTTCCCTAAATTTTAACGAAGTTTGAGAGGTACTTTTGAAGTTTATTTGTACTTTTCTTATTTACGACATATAAAAATATAAATAAAATTTAAATATCATACTTTTGCAATGAAATAATATTATTGGAATATATTTTATTTTTCTTAATATATTTTTTAAAATTACACATTTTAAAATATCAGACAAAACATTCAAAATCTAAGGACCAACCCTATGTCAAAGTACCATATATAAGATATTTTCTCCTAGTCAGCATACAATGTACACAAGATTCGTTTTGACATAATCTTTTAATTAATTCAAATAGTTCGGGAATCCCTATGTTGTTACTGAAATCTTCGAGGCCAATGAAAATCAATACTAGGAGATAATTCAAAAACAAACAAAATCAGACTTGGTCATTCTGTGACTTGCCCGTTCAGTTTGATTAATGTTAATATGTTGACCTTTATATTTTTTTGAAAAAAATTATAGACTAAAAGAACATTTTTACAGTCAGCTATTCATATTTTTAACATTGAGTTCAGGCAGTACTGGATAAAATGACAATCTACAAGCAAATCAAAGTCGGATAACCTATGGTACAGTTAACTCAAAACAAATCAGACAACCGATCAATAATATTACTGTGCTAAGGTTCATCCCAACAATGTCAATGCGTGAATCAGCACAAGCATGCTCACTGAAAACCAAATTAACGGCAAAATACAGATCCAAGATGCTGTAAGGCTTACATAAAACCGATTGAAACAATACAAAGGCAAAACACATTCTGCAGTATCTGGAATAAACATCATGAGATATTTGTAGATAACTTTTGAGCTTCAGAAAGAAATGCCAAACTTATGAGACCATAACTGGAGGCCTCTTATACACACTGCGAAGTTCTTCATTCAGAGTTCTATAATGCTCTAGTGCAAAACATAGCTGCCGTATAGCCTCCCTTTTCTCTTCAGCTCTATCCGAGATCAAGACTCTTTGCCATTCCACCTCTTTCCCTAATTCATCAACTCTAGATCTTAGTTCATCTGCTATTTTGTTTGCATTTTCAAATCCTGCACTCAGCTGCACATTCTCGGAATGCAACTGATGCAGATGACACTCTGTTTCTAGAACTTGAGTTTCTCGTAAACTTAGCTCTGCACTAAGTGTCAGTAACTTAGCATTGAGCTCGTCTTTCTCAGCTCGGATCGTGTCATACTCCTGTTTCAGCCTGTCAAGATCTTTATTCATAGTGTTCACACATTCATTTTTCTCATATAGCTCAAGTGTCATACTCTCTATCTCATCTTGCCAACTTGCTTCTTGGGCTTCATGCATTCTTTTCATCTCATTTTTGTTGGCTTCACGTTGCTTGATCTCATTAACTAATGATTCACACTGCAATTCCCATTCCTCAGTCCTTGCTTCTTGGGTGGTCAAACGTTCTGACAAATTAGAAATACGAGACTCAAGCTGTCCTTTCTCTGAAGCAAGATTTTCCGAGGCATCTTGCAGTGCAGCACTCAGCTTTCTTATCTCATAATCACGTTCTGCTACATCTGCAATGTACTTTATCATGCTCTCCTGCAAATCAAGAACCTTGCTTTTCTCTGATTCAATCTCGGCTTCCAATACAGCTATTTGCATTTGTAGCTGAGAAACCTTTCTGTTCTCCGTTTGTATATGAACCACGTGCATTTTTATCTCATTCTTTGCTGATTCAAGCTGAGTTTCCATACTACCCAATTTTATCAAAAGTGATTCATTCTTTTTTTGTTCACTTCTCATTCTGGTAATTTCTTCTTCTTGAAACTTAAGTTTTTGGCTAGAAATCCTAAATTGTTCTTCATATGTTGAGATTTTTTTTAACATCTCTTTGTACCTTCCACTGTCCACTTTTTGGGTGTCATTCATGTGGTCATGCTTTGTCGGGTCGACAACACCTTCCATCCCTGAAAACTCAGTCTCAAGATTCAAAATTGCAGGTTCCGGCATTTTTCTAGTAGGAAGTGGACTTAAATGGTCATTAGGAGATGAGTTGCAAGATTCAGAATCAGAATCTGATGATAACATGATAAATCTAGAGCCATCATTCAGAGATATATCAGAAGTATCTCTACCAGAGCTTACAGATAAATTATAAGTGAAGTCACCTCTTTCAAATTCTTGCATTCCCAGCTTCTTATCTGGAGTGAGTATGGAATTCTCCATTTTGGTTCCTGACTCAACGTACCTGTGTAATTCTCCTGTTAGCCCACTATAACGTTCAGCTAGCAAATGGTACCTTCGGGAAAATTCCTTGACATGAGCAATTAACTCATCCTGCTTCAGATGATAACTGTCAACCTTCTCCATGGAAAAATCTCCACTATGTCCAATCAACTGTAGCATTTCTTTGACACTCTGATCTACTACTGCAATAGGAGAAGTCGAGAACTATTTTAGTATTTTGCTTGTGTAGATTTTCCGTTGTTAGTGTTTTTTTTTTTTTTTTGGCAGGAGAAACATATGTAGTCTATCTGATCATGATAATAATGTTCCTTGTTCGTTAGAGTTAATCCCTTAGAATTCACTGGGTGCATTTATCTTAACCCTATTAAGGTTCAGAGATGATGATAACTCTCTTTTCGGAATATAACAATTGATCTTACTACTACGAAATTTTAGGTTCAGATACACCCCTGGTTATGGGGCAAGGAAGTTCTGCATAAGTACACACATGTTTATTTTGAGAAATATTTATTTTTTTCCAGACATCAGACAGGAGTAGAAGTCTTTATCTCTTAGATGCATATTAAATACTTACCCTCGACATCTTCTGCAACAAATTTAGAAATTTCAGGAGATGTGTGACTATACCACCACAGTGAATCTGACTTCATCTCCTCATTCTCCATCTTTGCCTGTGCAAGTAGCTAAGATACATGAGAATCAAGGCCTAAGCTCTAGTTTACATGATGTTTGACATATCATTGGAGCATCACTTGACGACTCAAAAGAAACGGCTGAAGGATTTAGAAAATACCTGAAGCTTTAGGAACTCCATGAATTACAACTGAATTATACGTAATAGAACAAAAAATCTAGCGACTACTCTAGACTTCAGTTGCTCAAAATTAAAAATATTTTCTCTTTATGGTAGTTGTACCAAGCTATACTAATCAATTTTGTTGGATAAAAAAAAAAAGAATTAATTTGACACTGTATTTTGCCATCGAAACTTCGTTCCATGCCAATATCGAAAGTCACGAAACTGTTCTCGTGCACACAATAGGTAGGATAAGACTACCCACTATTGATGTGGCAAGAAAACCTTACGATTCTCTCCAAATGTGAGAACCACAAGTACGATTCCCTTCAAAAGAATAAGAGAAGACTTCTCACCGTTGGTAGGAGAACATTTATGTCAAAAGTCAACTATCTATGCCTACAATTTTTTATGTCATAATTACAGCTGACCACAAGCAGGACAATACCTGATACTCCTCATAGAAGGATCATTCATGTTCATGCTATAAACCTAAGAGGAAACTACATATAGCAATTAACAATTCATTCATGTACTCTTTTGAATAAGTTTGATCAGTTCTATCTAGTAAGTCTAGGGTAGTGTGTTTAGGCTCAATTTATCACTCATTACAGATTCTTGGAGTTTTCTGAGGGTTCACGAGAGCTCTAAGTGTGAGATCATTTGTAAAAATGACCACTTGAACACATTCTTGAAAGTATAGTGCAGGAGCTTCATAGAGGACATTGACTAAATTTAGCCATACCTCGGCAAACTTGTGTTTTGTGATTTCTTGGTGTTTGTAGAGTGTTCTTGACTTCTTATGCTTCCATTTGTGGGATTCCGTCTTAACATCCACTTTTATCAATTCTACTTTAGTTGCCAACTTGCTTTGATACCTTAATTTGTTAAAAATCCTATATCACCTTGAAATGTAAAGTATGGACCTCGCCCTCCAAGATCTTTTCCATGTATTTGACACTCTTTTTTATCAGAAAAATTAAATAGCTTGTTTCTTACAGCATTAATAGAGACGCATTAAGTTATCAGCTAATAATAATAATAATGAAGCCAAAAATTCAGGGGAAAAAATTGCAACTAGAAAGGCAAATGAACTAAACAAAAAAAACAAGTAAACTCAACACGTGTCGGATAAACAGGTTCCGCTAAAAAATTAAACGAGCCCAACACAGATCAGAATGAAACCACATCAATTAGCAGAAAATTCCAACAATCAAGTTAAAAAAAAAAGCAGCAGCAGCAGCCCATACAAGCATTTGAGATTTAAATAAATAAAAATAAATTGTTCAGCTAAAAATTTCAAAAGAGCCCATCACAGATCAGAACAAAACCACGCAATTAACAATAAAATACAGCAAACAGGTAAAAAAAAAAAAGAGTGAACTGACCTGAAATTTGAGCTGGAATCCGAGTAAATTATTACAACCGAAAAGAAATGGCGTGAGTTTGATTGAAAATCGAGATGGACAAACTGAATTATGTGTAGTGAGAGAAGTTTTTGAGAGAAAAAGGACAAGAAGAAAGAGGTTTGGAGAAAGGGAACAGAGTGAGAAATGACACGGGACGCAGAGTCAAAGAGTGAGAAATGTAATTTAAAAATTCAATTTTTTGGGGCACCGTATCCCGCCTTATGATTTCAACTTTTGTTCGGACCTTTTTGCCCTTCTATTCTAATTTATTTTTATTTTTTGTCTTTGGAAACTTTTGGCTTATAAGTTGGTCAAATTCTATTTTTAACCACATGTTCTATAGAATTCATAACTTTTACGTACTTTTACTTAGGAGTGAACAAAAAAATCGTCAACCTATTAAACTGAATCGAAATCACAGTTTTGAATTATTAGTTTAGTTACAAATAGACTTGTCAATATTTCGATTCAAACCAGACAAAATCATTTAGAAACAATTCAATTTAGGGTGTGTTTGAATCTAATTTTGAGGAGAATAGAAATTTTGGAATAGTGATTGATGTGAGAATGTGTGGTGGAAAAGTAATGAAAAGTTTTTGATTTGTGTGTAATAGTATTTTATTTGGAGAATGTGT